AACGACAGGTGGGGACCAGAAACATCTTTTGTTACCAGAAACTCCCCTGGGACATGTCTTTAAGCCGAGCTTCCTCATGGCTGAGCGCACCCCCTGCCCCCTCCCCACACACCCTGCCCATGACTCCTGCAGGCTCTCGGGTGAAACTGAAACCTAACTTTCTGCTGTACTCTGATAGTTTTCACTCAGTGAAGCTCTTTTCAGATTAAAAATACCTTAGAGGAAATGTTTTTTCAGAGGCCAAGTAAACTGCATCATGGCAGCCCCCCCTTTCACCGAAATGAGCAAAGTTGGTTCTTAAAGAGACAGAGACCAATTTCAAGGCATTTAGAAGAGGAAGTGATGAGAAGATAAGTTTATTTTCTATTTAAACATAAAAACAACATTTTAATAACAACTAAAGGTGACATAGATGCTTTATTATGGTATAAGTATTTAAATATATGTCTGAGGAACACATAATATTGGCCTTTTAAAATGCACATATGTCAACAACTGTTCATCTCGATGGTGTCAGTGTTTTTGCAACGTTTCAAAAAAATGCATTATATCATATTTGTTATAAAAATGTGATGTCACAGGTAGTTTAAGGAAATCCTTCAGGCTTGTTGAAGCCAGCTCTAATGTAAGCTATGTTCACAGTAAGGACCGTCTCATTCTCCAGCTGAAGCTGATGTTTTGTTCACCAGGGGACTTGGTCCACCCCTTGTTGACACGAGGCCTGGGCTGAACTTGTTAAAAAGCAGCTGACTGAGTGTAAAATAAATGTTTCCCTCTCTAATATCACCACCTTGTGTTTTAGAGTAAACCTTATTATCAGCCAGCCTCAGGTAAAGCTCCACAGTGACACCTGCTGGCCTCCTGCCATGACTACAMGCTTCAGCTGGTAAACATCAGATCATGTGACAGGAACACCAGACAGACTCCCTCTAAGAGGGAAGAAAGGACAACAAGGAGCAGAACCAGAGGACATCACACATCAGGGGTTATTAAAATCTGTCCAGGCTCCATGTGCTCCTGAAAGACCTGCTTCAAATAACTTTAGGTTTTGAAATGTGARTCRGTGAAAACAATCAAATGTTTGAACTTCTTCATCTTCGTCTCCAGATCCCGTCAATCCYYGTCTCCACAGCACCAGGGCAGGAGGACCAGCCTCTGCCTGTCTAAAGACAGGGCCAGGCCCAGAGAGGCCCAGAGACCAGGGGAGCCCAAAGGTGTTCCCCAGCCCCGCAGMTCCTCCTCTTCTTCCTCCAGCTCCTCCTCTTCCTCTAGCTCCTCCTCCTCTTCTTCATCCTCATCCTCACCCTCACCACCACAGGAGAGGAAGGAGGCCAAAGTACCATCAGAGAGGGACTCGAGGTCTGACAAACAGGAAGAGAAGTCCAACAGACAGTCGTCTTTGTCTCAGGCTTCTTCCAGAGACCCCTTCCAWGTTCCAGTTCCAGGAAGGAGAGGGTCCCCGTCAGACCCCCGCCGCTCTAACTCAGGCACCAGTGTGTCCACGTCAGAGTCACGACCTTCTGGGTCAGCCAGGAGAGGCTCGCCCTCAGACCTGAGGAGCTCCAACGGGACAGCTGGAAGGGCCCCAGCAGACAGCAGACAGGTGTCACATGGTCCCAGTAAGAGGCCGTCCTCACCAGCAGCCCAGCAGCAGCCTGACAAAGCGCCCAGTAAACACAGAGCTGTGAACGGGAAGGAACAGGCCAACAGGAGCAGGAGCTCCAGTTCTTCTTCATCCTCCTCCTCTTCCTCTKCCTCTGACAGCTCTGACTCTGAGGCAGAGCAGGACAAACGGTGAGTTGGACACTAGAAGACAACACAACACAACACAACACAACACAACACAGACATAAGTGTGATGGATCTGGTTTTAACAGTGAACAGTTTCAGAAACAGCTGACTGTTAAAGAGCTGCTGCAGGTTTAACAGGACCAGTGTGAAGGAGCGTTTTAACACAATAAAACTAATAATCTTCAGATTGATCAGTTTGTTGGAGACAATCAAAGGTTATTTGTTGTGTAGTGTGTCTTATAATACAACTTGTTGTATTGTGTTGAGTTGTTCAGGAACGACCTGCTGTCTTTTCTTTTTGCTTCCTGTCATTTTATTTATGRTTTGTTTAGATGTTAATGAATGAATRAATAAAAATAAGAGCATTAGAGTGGAAACAGGTGCTTATATTTTACATGAACTGATGATTTGTTTCAACAGAAAATCAGTGAGAAGCCAACGCTCTGATTCCTCCTCATCCTCATCCAGTGATGAAAAGGACTCAAAGAACAACAGGTATTATTGTGTTTCAGTGAAATTACAATGAAAATCACAACATCTGTTGTTTACCTGGTGTTGTTGTGGAGTCAGCAGACTGAGCAGGTAGATCCAGCTGCCCTGCAGACAGAACTCTTCAGTCCACATCTAGATGATGACTCAGAGCTTGTAGAGCCACCAGTAAACAGAGCTTCTCCTCTCAGCTCTGACCTGTCCTGCTTCCTGTCCCTGCAGTCCTGCCAGGCCTCCCCGGGTCCCAGCTGATTCTCTCAGAGACTCTCGGTCCCTCAGTTATTCTCCTCAGAGACCTGTGAGAGCTGCAGCCTCTTCTCCCCATGCCAGGTGTGTAGTATTTGTACACAGAGTATTAGGACCATGTACTCAGATACAGGACTGTGTAATCAACCAACCAACCAATATTCCAAACACACAGTGGGGAGAACAAGTATTTGATCCACCGTTGATTTTTCAGGTTTTCCCACTTGCAAAGCTTGTAGATGACTGTAATTTTTATCATAGGTACTCTTCAACTGTGAGTGATGGAATCTAAAACAAAAATCCAGAAAAATACAATGTATGATTTTAAATTATTAATTTCCATTCCATTTCATTCAGCTGCTCCACGCCTCTTTTGGATCAGCGC